CTGGTATTTCCTCATATCGTCTCGTTAATAAAAAAATAAATAAATAAAATAAATCGTCTTCGGAAACTTGGAAAATTCTGAAAAACAATCTCGAACTCACAATCACGACATTAGAAGTGGGCGAGGAAACCTGACGGATCAATAATCATACTTCTTTTTTCATTCATCTCCCTACAGTTATATGGTTAATAATCACGCAGCGGATTTTGAGCAAGATTATATTTCGCAAAGTGAAAGTTATAAAAAATGAAATTTAATATTTTCACTGAAAACTCCGAGTTTGTAAAATAAATTAATAAAAGATGGTTCGTGGAAAGCTTCCTTTTGAAGCATGACTTTTTTGCAGAACAGAATCGAGATGGACACAGTGATGTCAATGTTTACTGGATAAAACATCGTATCATTGAATAAAATCCAATTGTTTTATACCAAGATATCGTGTGATATTAATAGAAATGCGTGACAAAAAATTCCTACTCCTATCAGCTTACAACTTTTTGCAACTTTCGAAATTTTATCCGATTTTTACTGCTGTCAGGGCACTGTAACCGCTTAAGTGTACTTTCACCGACATTCTTATCTTTCATGAATGCAGCAATAAGTCTCACGTGCCTCCGATAGAACGAGCGAGCGGCGCATAACCGTAGACGGCATTAGCGCGTCTCGCGCTCGTGACGACAGGTAGTCTCGCGCGGCATGAAATTGCTCGGGCGTGTATGACAATGTGGATTAGATAGTGTCGACGATGAAAGAGTGGAATTCGCATTGGACACGGCCCATCCCGATGGAATGCACCGACGAAATGACGACGGCGATGACGACGCGTCAATTTCTTCGTCGGCCACGACGGCGTCGACGCACACCTGACGACAGGTTCGACCGTCTTCGCTGATGACGGCAACCTGATTCACGATGCACAAGAGCGCAGAACATTTTAATGGCATCGGCAGGCGCGAGAGGAGAGAACGCCGGCAGGCGCGATGACAGCGAGACACGCCGAGCATGCTTTCTTCAGCGACAGG